CGCTGCAAGAACTGGATGAGGTTGAGGCAGGTTCCTCCTGTCCATCTACCTATCTGAACATAGATGGTTCTCCAAGGAAAGAGTGAGCTACAGTGAGGGGCATTGTGTTCAGGATGTGTGTTGTTTTCTATATGATCTATACCAGGGGTCGGCAACATTTGGCACGCGGCTCGCCAGGGTAAGCACTCTGGTGGGCCGGGCCAATTTATTTACCTGCTGACGCGGCAGGTTCGGCCGATTGTGGCCCCCACTCGCCGCGGTTCGCAGTCCCGGGCCAATGGGAGCGGCAGGAAACCGCGGCCAGCACATCCCTCACCCGCGCCGCTTCTCGCCGCCCCCATTGGCCCGGGACTGCGAACCGCGGCGAGTGGGGGCCACAATCGGCCGAACCTGCCGCGTCAGCAGGTAAATAAACTGGCCCAGCCCACTAGAGTGCTTACCCTTGCGAGCCGCATGCCAAACGTTGCCGACCCCTGATCTATATCCTCTATGTATTTGTCATTTTTAAGTAAAGAGCAATAACATGGTAGTATCTGTGTTATATGTTACACCTACCATGTGGCCCTTTGAAGAGGGGAAACTAGAATGCTTACACCTTTGGAGTTCTGGGAAAGGGTGTGTTTAAGCTTGGGGGGCGGGGGGAGCTCAAGAGTCAGCAGTGAGACCAGAGGGGCTAGGAAGCTGGGCCACATGGTTGCAGCCTAGACAGAAGATCTGTGCTCCAGAGATGTCCCTAGGGACCCAAAGACAGGGACAGTGGGCTTTGTTCAGACTTCAGAGCCTTAAAACACCCGGGAACTACTAGCAGGGTCTCCTCATAGCAAGCTGATGACCTGCCAGTAGAGGGAGCCAATCTGATCTATGCCAGTGTTTTGTTCTGTTCTTTTAGCCAGTATTAATTCAAGTCTTGTTGTAAGTCACTTCTTGAAAGATTAATTGCTGATTTAATCTGCACTGAAATCCTAGATGCATTGACTGATATACAAGTCTGATTGGGGCTGAAATTAAAAATAGCTTTCTGCCTTGCCTTTCTTGTAAATTCCAATGAAAAACAGTTGTGTGTTCATTTTCTAAAGATAAGTGTGAAGCACTGCTTGCTAAGTGGAGCCAGAGATAGACTATATCATTATAGTCTATCAGACAGCCAAATCATTAACTTCGTCTGCTGTTCAGGGTTTGTATTCAGCTTCAGGTCAGACTTGTTGTCAAGACTGATTCCCCATTCTGGCACTTCGAGTGCAAAAGATGGGGGCTATTAAGGACTCTAAAAATTAATACACCTCTACCCTGATATAACGCTACCCAATATAACATGAATTCGGATATAACGCGGTAAAGCAGCGCTCCGGGGGGGCAGGGCTGCACGCTCCGGCAGATCAAAGCAAGTTCGATATAACGCAGTTTCACCTATAACGCGGTAAGATTTTTTTGGCTCCCAAGGACAGCGTTATATCGGGGTAGAGGTGTACTTACCACTCCAGGCTTGTATTAAACTTCCAAGGTTACGGCTTTTCTCTGACCTTGGAGTGGTAGATGCTGCCACCACCCAAGTGTAGAATCCCTTTGAGAACCCGGAAAGGCACACTTGGGAATTCCTTCCTGTGGGGTACCCTCAAGCCCTTTCACCCCCCCACCCTTCTGGGGAAGAGCTGAGAGAGGGGGAAAAGGAAATCAATTGTTGCCACCAGCTAATTAAACAACATGTTCACAAACCTCTTAAGACACAAAAATCCAGTTCTGTTTTTAAAAAAGGTAAACTTTATTAATAAAAAAAAAAAAGAAAATACATCTGGGAATTTAGGCTTTTGCTAGATTAAAAAAAAACAAAAACCTACAAGGATTAAGCATCAAGAATAGCTTTCTTGAGGTCCAGCTTAAAGATTACAAGCAAAAGAAAAACACTTGTGGACTCCTCTGTGCTAACCCTAAACCATAAATAAATAAAAAGAGAAAAACCTAATTGCGTCTTCCCAGACATTTCCTGATCTAGTTACATACCTGGGGTTCAAATGAGTAGTTTCTAGGTATGATACTAAGGATTTTTCATACCTGGCCCCAAGCTTCTTACAGCATAACTGCAGCCCTGTCTGCCTCTCCCCGGAGAGCAACCACAGACTGACAAAGGGGAGTCGTTTTTCGATTTTAGAAAGTTCTAGCCTTCCCATTGGCTCTTTTGGCCAGGTGTCCACTCACTTCCTTTTACCTATGCATAGCAGTTAGACTTTTTAACCCCTTACAGGTTGAGCAATTAGAGAACAGCTACTAAGAGGGATTTTATAGCTGCTGGCTAGCTGGGTGTCCATAAAAGAGAGCTCTCCCATCCCCTTCATTTATCACACTTGTCAATTATTTAATACAATCAGGGTATTTAAATGCATGATAGCAGTCTGTCTGGCAGGCAGCATGTAATTAAATTTCACTTGTCAAAGCCAGATGTTTGGCTGATTGGATAATCGGAGTTTTCCTAGCTGGGGGTTGGTGTTGGATTACTTGCCAGAGGTGGGGAGTAGTTTGGCAATTATGAGAGTTTGGTGGGGAGGAGTAGTTAGGTTGGTTCTGAGCTGGAAGACCTTTGTGTCAAATGCTTATGAAACTGATGGGGTGACAGTGCATTTAATAGACGTTGGAAGATATCTGAAGTTTCAGGATGGCTGAGTAGGGGGAATCACTGGCTTATGGAGAAAGAATGGGTATATTTGTCTACAGTACCTCAGCTCAGTTTGTGGAGGGAAATTGTACTTGTCCTTTTTGTTTCAGGGATTGAAACTGAAATAATACAACTCAGTTTAATGTTAAAGGAATATTTGTGTCTACTGTAATTAAGGATGCCTAACTTATTCCATTCTAATCTCCTGTTTTCAGTCAGTAAGTTATGAATTACATATTCCAGGCTTGATTTCTGCCTGTGGTGATTTTATTTTTTTCTGGAAACTTTGAGCAAAATTGGTTCAGCTGTTAGAGTACAGGGGGAGCAGGAAAATAGGCATACTAGTGGTATAGACCAGGGAAGTGTGAGAGGAAAATGTTTTGTTTGTATTTCAGTCCTTTGAGAGGAATATTAAGGAAAATAGTGATGTCTAGAAAGGAAAGATTTCAGACTTTTTGAATCATTTGGTAATAGAAAGCTATGGTGTTCCCAGGAGTTACTAGGGGGACATAGCACCATATGCCTGAGCTACATTTCAAAGTTTTGCCAGCATAGCTATATCAGTTAGGAGCATGAAAAAATCAGTTACACCAGCAACAAAAAACAACTTTTGCTAGTATATCTTATTTCCTCCAGGAAGTGGTATAAGCTGTACAGACAAAAGAACTATTTTCTGGTATAAACTGTCTCCTCTAGGAGCTGTACTAACAAACACTTTTTAGTGTAGATGAGGCCTTAGATGGGAGATGAGTAGAGCCCTGTGTGGATACAAAACTTGTATCCCGATCCACAAAAATGGTCCAAGGATATCTGCAGATTTGCAGGGCTCTAGAGATAAGAGGGATCAGTATTTGAACATACGCTACCTTCCAGTAGAACAAGTTTAACTTGTTTTTTATTTTGGCAGCATGGAAACATTCTTTTTGAAGACAAATCTGCATCAATTAAAGTGGTAAGTTTTTTGTAGTAATAAGCTCCAAGCTATAATAATCAATGTATACTTTTGTATGCTCCCCCTATACTTCTGGTGAAAACAATTAAGGACCTCTTTTCAGAGATACTGATCAGTCACAAATTAAACAGAAATCAATCAGCATTGCAGGTGCTCAGCACCATTTATGATCGGATTTTTTTCCCCCCCCCTGAAGATTTGTATCTTAAAGTTTAGTGAAATCTGAATAAGGTCCTTTGAGGAGTGTGTTTTTCCCCAATCATTTCCATTATCTTACAGGAGCTTTGGACTCAATAGTAGTGACATACAATATTAGTCCTCTCATCAGATCTCATAATTGGTCCTTCCAATGGAAGGAGCTTGTGATACTTGGAGCAAGGAATGTGGTAAATGCAGATGAGCTTTCTGTGCCGCCCCAACCAATTCTCTGCCCCGGGTCCACTTTGATTGCAGTAACAGAGTGAGCCAGATGCATCACCAGTGTAGAAGGTTTTTAAAAACACACATACACACAAAAAAACTTGGGAGTTGTGGGTAGGTTTTGAGGAGAACTCTGTTCTCCTTCCCCATCCCCAGTGGTCTGGGAGTGAGGTCTTCCTCTACAAAGATCTCAGTAGCATTACTTTCTTCCCACTCCTTTCCATATAATTCATCGAGAGAGTGCATGTTGAATGAATTACTTAGGTCTTTGGAGGGAGCTATGATTTAAAAAGGAGGGTCAGTGTTGTGTTCAGGAGAGGAGAACTTTGTGCTAGGCCAGTCTTTCTGCCTTCATTGTAACGTTTTCTTACAGTTCTTTGTATTTTCCCTTTGATCTGACACTGTCTCCACTGTACTTTTTTAGGAGACTGTAGTACCTCTTGATTGTGGAAGCAGAAACTACTTATGCTGTCAAGTAGCAGCTTGGGCCTTAAATGGAGAGGGAATAACATTAGCTGAAGTACAAATAAAGTTTTACATAAATCTTTTGGAATTAATTGAGAGATTTTATTTTTATTGAGGAGAATGATTTTAATAAAGTGCAAGTCATTAGCCCTTTTTGTTTCCCTCTGCTCTATTTTTAGAAGCCAGTAATGTGAAATGCTAGTGCCAAATGTTAGGATTCAACGTAGTTTGAAATCTGGAATATTAAGCTTTCAGAAAATCGGTTTTCTAGTTCAGAGATTTGCAAGATAGCTGTTGCTAAAAGTTGTGGAGAATGAAGCTAAAAGTTAACTAGAATACACTGATGTGATCTTTCGTAAACCTTAAAACATTTGTTTCTGTCCTTTTATATTATTGGAAAACTGAGACTCTTCACTTCCAACTGGTTTTAAAGGTTTACATTCTATGTGAAATCTTGGCTCCATTGAAGTAAATGACAAAACTCCCATTTATTTTACCCTTTGTTCCTGGCTGATTAAGATATCAGATCTTTCATCTATGATTGGTCCATGAATCTAGTAAAGAAATGAAGCAAAATTTTGACCAGTGTAATTTTCCATGTATGAAATGTGCAGTTGATATACACATGCATTTTCTGAATGATGAGCTATTCTTAAATTTACTCACAGGTATTAATACATTCGTTTTACAGGATTTCCTGTGGTATCCAGAAGTTAATGGCTCTATGAAGCAACGTATCAAATCTTGGACTGAGGTGTGTTCTAAAAATATACTGACGTTAGAAAATACCAACAGATTGAGGGACCTAGTCTCCTATTGTTCCATATGCTTAACTCATATTGTGTACAAGTTCTGGATGTAGATAAAGGAGAATAATCATTTAAAACATTGAGATCAAGTTATACACTAAGACCTCTGAAAAGATATAGTGTTACATCTGTTATATCAACAGGATGTAGTCACACAGAACAAGCTAACACAAACTGCAGAAATTCACAATGTGGACTCAGAAGTTTAGAGCTCAAATGAAAGTCTCCAAAGAATCCCACAGCTCTGTAATATCTGGTGAACTCTTGCAAACTTGGAGGGGTGCACTGGATCTTATAATTATGCACTAGTTATACTTACTGTTTAATATAATTCTTGTTTTTATGCTATCCAGCATGTCAGGTGTTCTTTAAAATTGCTGGTTAACAAATTACTATACTTAACAGGTATAACAACTTGAACATGTATCTCTCTTGATAATTAGTCAAGTTGTTCACAAATTGACTTTTACTAAAGACTAGTTGCCATTTCTGGGTTTCTTCCTTTGATGATTCTATAATGGCTCATTATGCCAGTCTCCACTGCCCACTTGTTAAATTTTCAAACAAACATCTCTGTGCTTTTTCCCCTGCTGCCCTTCAGGTTTGGGAGGAACTCCCTGTAAACATCTGTGAAGCTACCTCTCTATCCTCCTCCAAAACCTTTAAAATTGTCCTTTTCCATGATGGGTACAAAACGCTTGACAGCAGTTAGGCTGCTGGTGTGCAGAGACCACGACCCATCATGCTGACTAATATTGTCTCATTGTTTTTCTTGCAACCCCCTCTGCCTCTACCTGTATCTTGTGTTAAATTTAGATTGTAAACGCTTTGGGGGCAGGGATTGGCTTTGTTCTGTGTTAGTACAGCACCTAGCATAGTGGGATCCTGTCCATGTATAGGACTCTTAGGCACAACAATATTACAAATAATAATAATAATATGATTATCACTTAATTATTTAGACAAATTTCTCTTTTTTTATGGACAAATCTCTTCAGTCATTGGCCACTTCATAACAATAAACATGTCTAGAATATTTATTTCAGCTGCTATAATGCATGTTTGTGTTATTTAGCAATGCATAGCATCTTATGAGTAGATGCCTGGATACCTTTTAAAGAGCAAACTTAAATATTGCCTAATTCAATAAATGATTTTGAACATATGGAAACATAATGATACTTTGCACTTACATAGAACCTTACATCTGAGGATCTCACTGCTTTACAAATTCTTTAGCCTCACAAGACAGCTGAGATGTGATAAAATCAAGGCACAGATGTTAAATAACTTGTGCAATAAATTGAATTGTAGCTTTTAGTGATTTGTGAAAATATTTAGAAGACTAATCTCTCTTTTACTTTGTGTTTTAGGGTTCTATTGCAAAACCTCATGTAATTGTAGCAGGAGCTGCTACGGTAAGCTTTTCATGCAGTAGGCATTCTGGTGTGAATTTACAGGAGAATACGTATGCTTCTAGAAAAGTGACAAGAGGAAGTAGTTACTTTTAATTTCAAAAGGGAAAACATACACTGATTGTCAATCTTCTATTCCAATTGTCTTGTTCTTGTTATAACCAATACTTTTTAAAATATCAGAGTAATATTTGTATATGGATGTGTGATGTACAGTAATATTTGCTCACCATTTCATTGTTAAAGATTGTGTTTTGGCTTGATGCGTGGATGAAATGTAGAATAAATCCTATGAGAAGATAGCCAAGGTACTTCATAAATGTTTTAAATATTTGTATTAATAATTTGGCCAACTGAATATCAACTTTTTAATGAATATTATTTTCAAAAAAATATTTACCTTGATAATGGTCCTGTCTGCAAGGTTTTCCTTCCAGGAATCCATTCTTCTTACTTAATTTAAACTCTTCTGTGCTCTGTTGACTGTTGAATACCCCCTTCTGCTGCTGCCAGGAGCCACCTAAGTATCTGTGCTTCCTGAGACTGTGAGTTTTGACATCCTGATTCAGGAATCAGAACCTCAGGGCAAGTCTACACTAGAGTGCTACGTCATCACAGCAGCACCGATGCAGCTGCGCCATTGTAGTGCATCTGGTGAAGACACACTATGCCGATGGGAGAGTGTCTGGCACCGACATAGTGTGGGTGTGTACAGTGCTTAGGTCACTGTAACTTATCACTTAGGGGGTGGCTTTTTCACACCCCTGAGCAACTTAAGTTACATCATTTTACTTGGTAGTGTAGACTAATCCTCATTCTCTCCCCACTTGCAGTAGGAAGAGGAGTAGGGCCCTTCCCACAATGCCAGGTATCAGCACCACTTCAGGAAATGGACTAGTCTTCCTACTATCTCCCCCTTTAATGACATCATCCCAGTTAGCAAAAATACCCCAATTTAATATAAAGGCTATACTTAGTTGCAGTTCACCATGTTTTAATGATTACCAACTAAGAAGAATCAGCCTTTCTTTAGGAAAATAACTGAAAAGTACAAATGCAAAACATGATTTAAATCATCAATTTCAATCAAGGTTTCCTGTTTGCGGATTTAAATCATGATTAAATTTGTCAATTCAAATAGTTTGGTTTAAATCGGTCCACCCTGGCTCAAATTCAGGAGTAGCACGCTGGAAACAAAATCTTTTGAGTGCTGCTATTTGATCTGTGAATTTGGAGATGATACCTGTCTAGGAGTCCTGCTAATCTATAAACCTCTGGACACCAAAAGTTTCCAAGAAGAGGTGATATATACATGTAGTCCGATGTAGTCAAGAAGTTCACAAGAGCAATATGTCAGCTGTCTGGAGTGGCTCACAAACGTGAATACCAGTATCAGGGCCAACTGTTACAAACCAGGGCACAAACTCCAAACTGATTGTGATTCTATGATTAAATTTCACCAACTAAGTAAGTATCCAGCATGAACTCCTCAAAAACTATAACAGCCTTAATGTGGAGTCACAGACAGTCCCCTTGTTATTCCAGTCTATTTTACCACCCCAGGCAAGCTTTCCTTTGTGACAGATGGTGCCTTACACCAAAAATCAAAATGATATTCAGGCTATTCCCAGGTCCAAATGACCGGTCACTTTCCTTAAGTCAGTTGCCTCTCAGAGCTTAAACCAGAAACAATGCTTGTAGCCAATGCTATAATAAACTAACTGAAGTTTTATTAACTATTTATTAATAAATGATTTATTAATTATTATTAACTAAGGAAAATAAATGAGTTATTTACAAAATTAAAGCAGGTAAACATACACACACAAATGAGCTATAATCTGGTTTCAGAAGATGATAGAAGCTGTTGTAATATGCAAGCTCTATATGTCCTTAGGACCTTACTTATGCTTAGAAATCTTTGCCCTTCAGAGTTCAAGCAGCATAGGGATAACAATTTCTTCCTGACAGGAATTTTTATTCCCTTCTCCCCAAAACTCAAGCTGATGGGATGAGTGTTTGTGCACTGTTTCCTCTTCATGGGTGTGGGGGGAGCAATCATCAAAGTCTTTTGTCCCCTGATGTTGCCCAATAGCTTGTCTGATGTCTATGGGCCTTGTTTCATTGGGCAGGAGATGACACTTCTTGTGGTAAACTAGTATTTCACACTTGTTAATGCATCTCTCCTGACTGTGGGGCTTTATAGTTTCAGAGCAAACACCTAAATATTACCTTATAACATGGGACACAGATATTATGTGTGAGATTAATGCATGCAACAACTTCCAAGAATTTCATACAGTCTAAACACATTTTTATAAATCTAATACCTGTTTTAATAATACTAACGCACAGATGAGCCAGACTGGTTTCCAGCTATGCATTTGTCAATGTTCCGTGAGGCCTGTGGGTCTTGACATGAGCTAGTCTGGTCTGCCAGCATCACACCATCTTGGGAGACTTCAGCATTCACACAGATGATAGCCTAAAACTCCTATCTGAACTCTGTGCTTTTTGTTTCTCAAAAGTTTTCTTAGAAGTCTCTCTCTCACACACAGACACCAATACCCCAGACAAAATAGTAAGGTCTGGTCTACACTTAAAATTTAGATTGACATAACTATGTTGCTCAGGGGTGTGAAAAAAATCACACCCCTGAGAACCATGGCTGTGCTGACCTAACCCGTGGTGTAGAAGAACCAGGGAAGAAAGCTTCCATTGACCTAATTACTGCTGCTTGGGGAGATGGATTACCTACAGTGATGGAAAAACCCCTCCCATCATTTTAGGAAACAGTTATGCTGCGGTACTGAAACCGCATAGCTACAGTGCTGTAGGTGAGCCTTTATAGCACCTGTATTGTAGACATGGCCTAAGGCTGGACACTAACATAAGAAACTCAAGAATAGCCCCCCAGTCCTGATTGCACCATGTCCTACCCCACATAGAAATGAAAACTCCCTGATATAAGATGAAAAAATCACCACCATAGTCTATCCTGAAATCAAATTCCAAAATGTATTTACAGAAAACTCTACCCAGTCAAGAACTAGAAGAACCAGTGAAGCACAACCATTGTTCCCTGACTGCTGCTTATAGATAGTCCAGTACCAAAATGCCCCCTTCTAGCTAACTGCAATCAAGGGCATCACCTTTGACTTCAAACTTTGCCTTTGTGGATATGAAAGAGAAAAATGAGTCATCAATACATAGATGACACTCAGCTCTCTGTGTCCTTTATCTCATACTAAACAACACCATCTTCAAGTTGGTCAAAGTTGAACATGTACAAGACTGAAGTAATACTCATAGGTTTCTGAAGCACTTTCCTATTTCTGCTGCCTACGCCACCCCTCCCTCCCCCCCCCCCCCCCCGCCACTACCAAGCATGTCTGCCCTCAGATTAAGTTGTTCTGCAGCCTTTGGGTCCATGGGATTCCTCAGCACTATTTGATGCTGAAGTACTGATGGTAGCAGAAATTCCCATTTCTGTCTTTGACTGGCCAGAATACTGTGCCCCTTCTTGGGCTTAGCAAAAGTATCTGTTTTGATATTCAGGGTTCTCTATCGGATTGGGCATAGCTTCTGAATAAATTTGTTTCTCCCTCCAAGATTGACCTCTCACAATAGCTACTTTCCACTGAAATAATGAAATAATAAAGAAAGACCTTTCATAGGAAATGGACCTAGATCATGTAATTCACTCCCACAAAACATTACAGTGGCTACAGGCCTCACCACGTTCAGGCTAATACAAAACTCATCTTTTCGGCTCTGCGTTTCCTCTGTAATGTCAACACAGACACACACAGAACAATAATTTAAATAATTTCCTAAACTGTTTCTATTACAGGCTGGGAAGGAAGACAGAAAGATTGTTGTTGTAATTTATTTAAATATTTGGGAGGCACTTGGATACATAAATGTTCCCCTTCACCGTAGTACTTAAATAGATACCACCACAAATCTTCATAGCTATTTCTGGTATAGTACTGTTTTTCAGGTACTTCCTTTTTCAGATACTGTCCATTAAATGAATGAATACACTAAAGAACTTAAAACCCCCTAGGCTTTGCTCATACAAACCTCTGCTTCAAGTCAATGACAGTTTTGCTTGAATAAAGTCCACAGGATTTGACCCTAAATCTTGTCTCTATGTGTTACTGCTACCTTAATACTGTTCCATCAAGTCAGTGAGTTTCTAATCAAATTTGTATCAGAACAATTTTTGAGTAGACAAATGCCACCCCTATGTTAAACAGTTGCAACGTATATCTTGGTACTCTGAATGATAATAGTTCATTCTTCTGTTATGCACCTAGCCTGTCAAACCAAAAAATGTTTTTAATGCTATAAAAATTATTAAAATATTTAAGAAATAAACAGGTTCTATAATAGTATTGAAAATAGCTGCTAATGATGGAGTGGCATCAGTAAAGTTTTATGATTGTATATACTTTAGAGATAAAGAATCTGAATTTTTTTTTATTTAATCTTCTAGTGGTCTATCAAGATTCACAATGGCAGCAATGAAGCCCTCACGCAATATAAAATCAATATCACTTCAATAGCACCTCTTTTGGAAAAATTAGCAGAGAGTAGTGATGTATACTGGGTCTTACAAGGTAAAATACAATAGATAACACTAATTTGTGCTGTAATTGTCTGATCTGAATTACAATTTTGCAGGCTGTGGAGGACTAAACCATCTTTCACTACCTTGCTTTGCTCGAGGTTGTTCATAAGTAGTCTAGTGTGTGCATAAATATTCAGAAAATTTTGATATAAAATCTGGAAGACTTGGCTCTTTGTCAATATTGGTATGAGATTTCACTCATTTCCTCTTGACTGTATATTCCATGTGTTTGACCTGTTCCTACCTTCATGAGTTACAGCTATCTGAAATTACATGTGTTGACAGTTATATCTAGACATAAGCAGTTGATTTCTTTTTCCTGGGGGGGAAAAGAAAAATCTTAATCCCCCCTAAACATTGACTTCTTGTTGAAAGATTCCTGTAATAAACTTCTTAAAATTGCTTGACTTATACAACCCATGATAAAGCTTAAGAAAAATGCTCCTTTTAAGTTTTTTTATGTTATGGAGTTAGCTGTTAGCCAGAAAGGGATATATTTTCCAAAGAGGAGCACTAAGGCTGGGCATACCCACACCCAATAAGCAACCATGACTACAGTTAATTACATACATCAAATAGACTGTTGGTGTAAAATATTTTCAAACTTTAATAACTGAATTTTAACTTAAATTAAAAAACAGCAGAGAAATTTAAGAAAACGTTAAGCTTGCTTAGTTAATGGTTTACAAGTCAAGTTTTGCCAAAGTCCAGGTTACACATGCGGTCTCAACTCTTTCACCTTTTATGTATTGTATTCTTTTTTAATTATATGATCACATACAATTTCTCAAATAATACAGTTTATGCAATATATATTCTACAACTTTATGACCTTATTTTGTGCATACTTATTAAATGTAGTGCCTACTACTCTAATTAGCCCCATAGCCATCAGTATCTGTGTCTGAAACCTGGGAGGGACTGCTCATGGTAGGAAGCACTGTACACATTAGTGTTTTGCAGGATTAAGCCCTCAGATACACATGTGGGGCATATGATAGTGTTCTGTACTATTCTGTACATCAATCCATTAAAGTCATTAGTATGAAACTACTCTTGGGGGAATTCTGTGCTACTGCATGCACATAATTAATGAGCCATGCATATTTTTAATTTTTTGCACAGGAAGAAGCTTCTGCTGAAATGTTGCTGCAGTTCTGCCTTTTGCCCACCAGAGGGCAATGTGGCGCAAGAACAGCAGCAGCTCCCAGCAGAAAATAACTTCTGCAGTTCTGCCTTTTGCCCACCAGAGGGCGCTGTGGCAATAGACCATAGCAGCAGCTCCCAGCCAGCTAGGCAAGACAAAGAGCCTGCCTTCTTCGCAGCGCCTGTCAGGCCAGGTCAGGAGACAGGGGCTATGGGGAGACGGATGGTGTGGAGTGCTGGGGGTCAGAGAAGAGCTCATAAGGGGTAATCGGGGAGAACAGACTGGGGCAGGGGCTGAATGGGGGAGTGGAGGCACAGGCCCATGGGAGGGAAGTACAGGGCCACATGGTGAGGGGGGAGGGTGTGCAGAGCTACATAGCGACAGAGGGTGTCTGAGTGAGGGCACAGAGACACATGGGGGGGAGGGGGTACAGGGACATAGAGACGGGAGTGGCTGGGTGGGAGCACAGAGACACATGGTGATGGGGTACAGAGCCACGTAGGGATGGGGAGGGGGTGTCTGAGTGGGGGTGGAGGGACACATGAACGGGGGTGTGCAAGGACACATGGGGGTGCAGGAACACAAAGGGACAGGTGCAGATGTGCCTGACTGAATGGGAGAGGCTAGGGCTCAGCCAGAGCCTGCATAGGGGAAGATCCCTAACAATCCCTCCCCACTCGCCCCAAAAAAACCTGTTCCAAACTTTTCCCACCCATACTCAACAACCTTCCAAATTCACACCCAGGCTCCTTCCCAGCAATTTATTTCCCCCTCCCTCAGCTCCTTTGTTATCCCTGACTCCCCCAAGCCTTTGCACTGCTTCTGAGGGATGCAGGAAATACAGTCCTGTATTGTAGTTTAAATGAATTATTACTCAGAATTCTGTATTAATATGCCTAATAAGGAATCTGTTTGTCAAAAAACATTTCCTGAATCTTTTTTTGTTGTCTGTATTGTTACAGATATACTTGCTGACAGGTATTTTTAAATAAATGACCAAAAATAATTGAAACTGGTGTGATTATATTGTTATTTTGACAAATAAAATATTCAGAATTCTGCAGAATTTTAAACTATTGTGCACAGAATTGTTAATTTTTTGTTGCAGAATTTTAAATTTTTTGGTGGAGAATTCTCCCTGGAGGAGTATGAAACATACAAAATAACCAATTCTTGCACAACATTTTACAGTTTTATGTCATAAAGTAATAGTGAAAATTATGCGGAAACACAGAGGCCATCTACATTAGTTCAGTTAAGTGCCTCATATCCTGAACTCCATCCAGCTGTGCTGCTGATTGGGAAAAAGTGATATATTACATTAAAATATATACTTGGAGAACATGTATAAAAATTCAGTGTCATTAAAGGTAAACTAGACTATGAAAATAGCACAAGTATAGAGGTATGAAAAATATAAGTGTTTTTAATGTGTTTTTAAGGTTATAGGAAAAATAGTGCGATGTACTGAATTATTTGAGAACTAGTGTTTGATCATGAATTTAAAGATTGTGATGTAATGAATATGAGGGGACAGCATTAGGGTAGCTAATCCTGTTTTAATTTTGATATTTCTGGATTTTTAGATTAGAATGTAAACACTTATGTAACCTTAACTGTGTATTGCTGGTTGATGTGCCCATTTTAATGTTCAATTGACATATTCAACATTATGAATTCTGAATAAGCAGAGTTAGACTTAAAAAAAATCCCAAACTATTGATGTGGGTTCATTGAAATGTGCAGGAGCATTTGAGAAGAGAAAAATCTCTTCTTTACTAGATGACTAAATACATGTTCTGAGAGGTTTTAGGAAAACTTGCTCCCAAACTAAATTCTTGCATGCCCGATTGAAGATTACAGAAGATTACAGTCTTAAACCTCATAAAAAACAAGGACTATAATACAAATGGTAAAATGTTAATTTTACCATCCAGCGTAGCACTGAAAAATTATGATTAATCTTTTAGGATGAATATAGTCTATAGAATTTGAATTATGATGATTGATTTTTTTAATAAAGCTTAACATTCTTTTAAATTCAGATCCTGTTTATGAAGATATGTTGAGTAACAGTAGGAAAATGATCACTAATGATAAAATAGATGCTTACAATGAAGCTGCAATCAGTATTCTGAACAGCAGCTCCAGAAATTCCAAAGCTAAAGTTAAAGTGTTCAGCGTTTCTAAACTCATAGCACAAGAAACTATCATGCAATCTTCAGATGGCCTGCATCTCCCAGAATCAAGCAGAGAAACAGTGAGTACTTTCATTGTTAGTCAACATAACAAAAAAGTAATAATGGAGCAAGATTTTAATTGAACATGTTGTACTCATAATGGCAGATAGTATGAATTTTGGTGTCCCTTAATAATTGTAGTCTTAAAAATGACATGCAAGAGTTTTCCAGGAAATTGTTTGCAAGATCCCAGCAGATGAAAGGGTATCTTTTGGGATCTTGCAAACAAATTTGACAAGATACTACTTGCCATTTTGTAAGTAACTACGTAGCTGTTCAAAAAACGTGGTTTCTCCTATATGTTAAACACTATTGAGACCATCACTAAATCCTTCACATCCTAAGGAATCCAAGCTGCAAATTTGTTGCTTTCCTCTGTGTGAATGAATGACAATCACAACTTTTTGGAGAGCTGCTCTCAGAGCTAAATCCTAAATCTCACCTTTTGTGAGTGTGCAGGATCTTCCGCATATTAGTAGTAATTCTGTTATGGCGGAGGCTGGGGGGATGTGGGGAACCCATTCAGGGGATCATCATCCCATATAAATCTCAGTAAAGGCTCCCTGCAGCACAACATGGAGGAAGTTTGTGGTTGTGGGGGTGGGCTAATAGATAGGCAGAAGGTGGGTTATTGGATCCATGGCTGTGCAGGTCAGCTGACAAGCTGCATGAGTTACTTCAATACTGAGTCTGCAGTAATGTTTGCAAAGCAGTTTTGCTGCCACTCCACAGTTTGAGGTAGAAGAATTACATTTCCACACCCTCCATAGCAGACCTTCCCAGGTCTACTTATTTGGGTTGTGCTCCCACCCGTGACTTTGGTTCTTGTTGCTTTTTCAAAATCAATAATAAAAATTAAAGCTGTTTGTTTACATCAGGACACTTAAAAATATGGGGTCCTGTGGCACCTTTAAGACTAACAGATGTATTGGAGCATAAGCTTCGTGGGTGAATGCCCACTTCGTCAGATGCATGCATACACCCACGAAAGCTTATGCTTCAATACATCTGTTAGTCTTAAAGGTGCCACAGGACTCTCTGTTGCTTTTTACAGATCCAGACTAACACAGCTACCCCTCTGATACTTAAAAATATGGGTTATTTTAATCCTGGAATTTGTGTGTAACTAGCTGTGTACGCATATATGAAGCGCTTAAATATAAAATGATAGGGGAAAATGCCTCTTTACTAATGTGAAATATTAGTAAATATATTTGAAAAAAATCTCCTATGCTGAGAATGTTTGATAGCTAGTTACTTGTTTCTTTGACAGAGTGCAATGATTCTTATGAACGTCTACTGCAATAAGATTCTGAAGCCCATTGATGGTTCCTGTTGCCAGCCTCAGCCTCCTCTCACTCTGATACAGAAGCTAGCTTTTTGCTTTTTTGCTTTGTCCATTATTGGATATTTAATTCTCAGTTTTATTTATCGTAATAATCATCGAAAAAACAAGCCATGCACCGATATGGAAAGTGGAGAGGAGAAAAAACCTGTCACCAATACATCTCCTGTTTCTACTCTAGAGACATTGTTATACTCCTTCTTCAAGCTGGGTCTAATCATGGCCTATTTCTATCTGTGTGACAGAGCAAATCTATTCATGAAGGAAAACAAATTTTATACACATTCATCTTTCTTCATACCAATAATCTACATCCTGGTTTTAGGGGTATTTTATACCGAAAACACCAAAGAGGTAAAGATCATGCTGGTGTCATTTCCCAGTTCAGAATTGTAATTGAATTCATTTTTATTCACTAAAATATTGCAGGTCAAATTATCAGAAAGATATCGCTGATGCACTCACAAAATATATAGTTGCATATGATAATTCATTAATTGTACACAAACTGGTAATTAGGTGCAAAAGGACGTTTTTGCAAGTGCATTGGGTAAAGTATTTTTGTGGGTGCGGCTGTTGGTAAGGTTCATCCATCAACTGGCCACAATGCATCAGAGTCAAATCCTAGTTCAAACTAGTAGATGAGCATTGATTTATGGGGCAACATCTAATACACACTGAACTTTATATAATGTCATTAGTGTAGAAGTTTTTCTTCTTAGATCCAACTGCCCATAAACTGGTTTATTGTTTTGAACTTTTTCTCCTCATTTTGTAGATGTTCGTTGTACTTGTTGGAATAGCAACACTCTTGTTTTGTTTTGCATAGACTAAGATGTTAAATAGAGAGCAGACAGATGAATGGAAAGGCTGGATGCAGCTTGTTATTTTGATTTATCATATCTCTGGAGCAAGCACTGTAAGTGATTTGAATTGAATTATTTTTTTTTAAAAGTAATGTGATTTGGATTCAATGCTTTAAAGGAAAAATAAGCTTCTGGCTTTTACCGCCAAGATACAGAAGTTAAAATATCCAAGCATTTATTAGACTTGAGTATCATAAACAGTTCACATTATGCTCCTCGTTTAACCTTTAATTTTGAAAACACAATTTTTGTGAGGCCTCATTTATATAATTTCCTTCAATAAGTGAAGATATCAATGGGGCTATACTGTTTTGGTTTTTTTGTCGTCTTTCCTCCCTCACCTCCCTCCCTCCCCCCTCCCCCCCCCAATATATCCCGTGAAGGGGAATCATTTTTCTCATTGTGGAAGACTGTATTAACTTAGTTGCAAAAACTTGCTGGAGACAGCTTTTTTGTGTTAGGAGTTGAAACTGTTAAAGGGCAAACTTTCAATAACACTTTTTTCCCCCTTTAATCCAGTTATAGACCCACAAGAAAGTAGAGCTGTTGATACAGTTGTAAGAAGTTTATTCAGATTTTACAATTTGAGAGAGGCTAGGTCAAAATAATTGCTGTACGTAGTAGTAAGTAAGTCATAACATTTCTTTCCTTTGTTACAGTTGGTTTACAATGACAGAAAGTTTTATGAAACAGAAACACAACAAGCCTAAAATACAGAAGAACTTTCTCCTCTTTGTCCCTGAACTTATTTACAATTAATAGTGTTTTAAAAAAAAGAGAGAGAGAGAGCACTTCTGTGGCCCTCTGTAAAAGGGTAAATTATTTTTCTCAACAGTTTTTGCCTGTGTATATGCACGTTCGGGTTCTGGTTGCTGCATATCTGTTCCAAACAGGTTATGGGCATTTTTCATACTTTTGGATCAAAGGAGACTTTGGATTGTATAGAGTGTGTCAGGTAAGAATAAATCTTTCACTGATTTATATAAAAATATTCCCAAATTAGATCTCTCTCTGCTCGCTAAATTATCTGAGATTAAAATTATTTTGGTTGATACAGGTCTGTCTCATCTTACGCTTGGGTTACATTCCGCAGTCAGCGCCTAAAGTGAAAATCGCATATAGTCAAAATTACATTGAGTGTAATGGCGGGCAGAATCGCCCGCACTACAGAAACAGTATTTAAATTGTTGTTTTTCTCTTTTTGTTTGTTTGTTTTTGTTTTTGCCGACCGTGTAAAGCTGAAATCGCACATGTTAAATGCGCCTAAGATGCGACAGACCTGTATTCATAACAAACTGATCATTGTCTCTATCTCTCTCTCATCTGGTCTATTTAATGTAGTCTGATCAATCTAGTCTATCTAATACAAACATAATAAAAAATTTTAGAGGGAAGGCAGGTAACCCATTAGAATGTGGCTGAGGTGAAAAATAATCATTCTTAATATTTTCATCAGAAATTGGGCACAATAAATAGAGGTGAACATAAACCAATGTAATATTATGAAAAGGCAAGACTGAAACAAACTATCTAAATTATCCATTTTGAATCTTTCTTTCCCCAACCCATCCCCCCATCTTGTCTGGTTAATGTGGAGATTCTATTTTACATACCACTAGAGCATTTTTCTGTTGGCTCTTATACAAATAGATAAATATTTGGTGAATCCAGGATGCTACCACTGGAAACAAAATCAAATTTTTCTCACTGTGAAGAGTGTGATGCTTCTTAGGGCAGCCAGGGCTGTGAGCCACCGTGTTGCCACCTCCCTCCAGCACGAGGAAGTCTTGCTTGTGCAAGCTGAGTGTTAGCTCCCTCACACAAACAGCCTGTCAGCCACTCAAGTACTCTCCTATTGTCCCTGCAGGCTGACAATAGATGTACCCCAGGCTCTGGATCCCTTCAGTGTGTCCCCTTATGGTATCCAGTCCCTGATCACTAGATACCCACAGAAATCCCAGATCCTCTGTTCCCAAAGGAAGAGTGTACCCCAGTTTAACAGTTTTACCTTAGACCAACACTCCTGTGACACATATATCACTTGAGTTTGATTATAGTAAACCAAAATAAGATTTATTTAAGAATAAAATTCAAATAGAATGGTTGCATATAAAAAAAATGAAAACTAGGGTCTACACTCATTATTAGATAGGAAAGTTCACTATTAAAGTTCAGTCTTTTGCAGCACTTGATAGCCCCAAGGAGCTAGGACCCAGTCTTTCATGAAGCTCCCTCGCTTTACCTCCTCAGTGAATGGATCCACCCTGAGATATACCAAATACGTTTTTTGTCTTTATTCACAGACAGGGCAATCCCCTCACTGTCATGTTGTTCCTTTTCATTTCCAAGTGGTTTCAATGTTTATAGTGAGTCTTGTATGGTTTTCCATTGACTTGTCTATGTTGGTTCAAAGTTACTCTGTTGACCAATACATTACATAATCAGCTAGCCAGGGAGGGTGATCACCCAGACATATTTCCTGCTGACTCATTTTCACTCCAAAACCAGAAGGGAATAATTTTTTATATATTTATATTATTTCTTAAATATCACCCTGTGATGGGTTTCCTGGGGTGCAACTTGGAAATGGGGTACCACTGAGCCCTTGGCCTCTGTCTCACCAACCTGGGATCCCTATCACACTGTGATGCTGTGACAAGCTGCAAGCCCTCCAGGAACTGCATTTACACAGACATCCACAGACAGGGACACACTCTGCTGAGTTACATGAACGCTTTTGCCAGCCACTCGTGAATCAACAATGGAGAGGCTCCAGCAAATTCCCCACAGCTCTCCAGACCCAGGACCCCAGAACTGTACTATCTTGCCTTGGTCAGAAGCCTGACCAGTGTAAGTTTATTACCTAGTCCACCCTTCCCTAAATGTGGAGAGGACATGTACCAGCTCTTGTTCCTGAGCAGATTGCCCGTGCATTTCAAGCAAAACCCACTGTTTTAGGTAAAATATAAAACAGATTTATTAACTACAGAAAGGTAGATTTTAAGTGATTGTAAGTAGTAAGCAATATAGATCAAATGTGGTTACCTAAAAAATAAAACATTAAATCACAATGTGAGTTCCATAAACTAGACAGGATTTAAATCAAGCAGTGTCTCACTCTGATGGTATAGATCCTTAATACACAAACTGGGATTCTCCTTTTCAGCCTGGGACCATCTCCCCAGATCAGACTTTGTTCTCCAGATATGTTTCCAGATGTTGGGGGGGAGAGAGAGGCCAAATGATAATGTCACTTCCCCTCCTTTATAAGTTCCTCCAGCTTGCTGGAAAGATCTTTTGCTATGACGTGAGTCAAAGGCCTGGTCCACACTAATCCCCCACTTCGAACTAAGATACACAACTTCAGCTACGTGAATAATTATATAATTATATCACCATGGTAAATATGGGGGTGCCAAGGTGTTGCTTTGGGGTACCGAGTGACACACACCCGTACACAGATCTCACAATGATTAATGAGTATTGGTACATTACAAGCTTGTAGTAGAGACCTCATATGCTACTCTATGGATAATTACCATGAAGGTGGAGTATTAGGTGTAGTGAGTTTGTGGGGTCTGAGACAATTGTTGTTTGTAAAGAACAGTGTGAAGCCTTTGCCAATTGGCACCAATGGGCCTTTATGTCTTAAGGAGTTTTTCTTCCTCTGTGGATAAGAGCAATTGAATTCAGCATTCCAGCACATTGGATTGCCTGCTTCCAAGACTGCAGGTCTTGCTTTGGATGGCACAAACTACTGTCATCTCTGGTTTGAACTACAGCCATTTTCATTCAATTAAGTTCTAGAAGCTTTAAGCCGCTGTATGCATGTTGGACTCATGACCTCCCTCATCATTAGTAAAATAAAATAAGGTATTGGGTGTTTTAGTGGAGATCATTCATGCTCCCCTAAAAGATGGTGGAATGGCTGCTTCACTCAAATGAGTGCTTATTAGGCCCCGTCACAGCTTCAGAGTAATTGCATCTTTAACCCTCTCCCATCCTTGGTCTGGTACAGGAATCTCCATTCAGGTCACACACCCCTAGCTATAACCCCCTGCCAGGTCTTCTACCAGATCTATTAATTATTCTCTTTTCAAAATGAAAGGGTATCTCAAAGTCCACTCTTATTCATAACAATCAGTTGTTCCAATACAAAGATGACTGGAGAAAACATTGTGTTGTAGGGTTTTTTTGCCCAGTTAATGTGAGGGAGTACACTATACATTTTTAAAATATGTGACTGGCTTACCCTGTTGGTATCAAATGGTATCTTGGTTCAAACAACAAACTACCACCCTTCAGTTTCTACTTCTTTGCTAAAGTTCGAACTGCTTATTCAAATTTCAAGAAAGGTAATATTGTAGGTGTTTAAATTGATATGCATAATATTTATATAATTTTTATAGTGTAAAGAAAAAACCCAGTTTGATGGTAATCCTAAATGAAAAAAACTCTTCTCTCTTCCTTCTCATCCCAACCATCCACAGGTTTTATTTCGTCTCAATTTCCTGGTTGTGGTGTTATGTATAGTGATGGATCGACCTTACCAATTTTACTACTTTGTTCCACTAGTCACTGTCTGGTTTATGATCATCTATGCTACATTAGCTGTATGGCCTCAGATAGTCCAGAAGAAAGCAAATGGTAAAATAAATTTTGTTTCTTTCCTTTTACTGTAAAGGTGTTTACATGATAATGTACACAATTACAATCATACACAAAACTTGATAGCTAGTGTGTTTGTCTTTATTTGGATATGTGAATAATGTAGAAGTAAATTCTGTAAATATGTTAAACCACTGTCCACCAAACTTGGAGAGAGAGTTTTCACTTGCTGTAGTTCAACAGAACACAATCAAGTGTTTGTTGAACTGTATCCTTGCTTAAATTCGTTGGAATATGAATTTATATTTCTGAGGTTTTGAAAATTATGTTTGGTGAGCACTGTAAGAAACAAACAATTGCTGAATGCAAGCTAAAAACCTAACCACATTAACTTGCTCCTAGATTGCTATACCTGTATTCATTGAACTCAGAGTTTTAATGTTATCTATGGCTTTCCCTTTTATTTACAAAAGCTCACTTTTTAAAAGTAGAATGAAATTCAGAACTATATATTCCCAACCATTCTTCATTGTGGAACTTTGAGAGGGAATGGCATAGTGTTACCTTACAAACTAAAGTTAGTGTTCTAGAAAAATACTTTGTCCGCAGAAAACGGACAGCATGAGCATCAGTATTGCAAACTTCCCCTAGTCTGTGCTGCCAATGTACCTCAACCCTCTTCTTGAGGGACCAATTTTGTTATCTCTTACCTAGTAGGGGTCTCCTTGCTGCTACAGTGTCTGACCCCTTTGCTGAGATTGTCAAGGTGGTGCTAAATGCATTATTTCTTGTAATGTGGATGCTTGTTCTTTAGAAAGTTGAAGTGAGACCACCAGCTTGTTTCACATACTATAGTGCAGTGAACATCTGTCATGTGGTAACTGTTTTTTGAGATCATTTACCTCACCTAGATTAGAACCAGTGACCTGGAGAGTAAAGACTCTATATACTATCACAACATAGATCCCCATCCCTTCTTCTTCGAGTAGTGTCACTATGGTGTCGCTCCATTGTAGATGTATGTACATCCCTCACTTCTGACTGGAGATCTTTGGTAGCAGTGTTCGTTCAGCATGTACATGCGCTCTCTCCTCCTCATGCGTTGCCTTGAGGCTAATTAGCTCTGCATGGACGAACCACCCTCAGTTCCTTCTCAACCATCCCTGGCTAGAGACAGAGCAATTAGGAGTCTGTTCACGGATACTTTACTCTTTAGAAATTCGTTCTTGGCTAGTTTGTGTTTTTGTAACCTCACTTTTGTCAATAAAACTATGTAGGGTAGATGTAGACAAGGCCAAAGAGGTTGGCAGATACCTTACAGATATTTCTCAAGGAGATAAGACACTCACCATAAGTTGCTGGATATTTTACATTCCTTCTCCTCCTCCTCCAGAATAATGCTCCCCATCAACAAGGCGCTTTTGGACCCAGCTAAGCTTATATGGCAGACTCCAGCATCGGCCACACCAATATGCAAATTGGATGATAAAAAATATATTATGTACCTCCCAGTGTTATCTGGGGTCTTTAGAACTTTTACCTGGGGCAACTTAATTTATTCTTAACACTGCCTAAAATAAAATAATTAATAGGAACACAGCAAATTTGTTTGATAAGATTTATGCAAGTAAACGTGCTTTCTTTAAAACAGCAGTTTTAGATCTCACTCACTCACTCATGCCCGTCACCCAGACAGGCTGCAAGTTTAAACAGCAGAGAGAAAGAGAGAGAGAAAGCAGACAGGCTGCAAGTTTAAACAGCAGAGAGACAATTATACAGAACACAGTAAAATCTTATCTATGATTTAACTTAACCAAGACTACACAAATTAGCAAGTAACAAAACACAGCGCAACAATTCTTTAAGCCTAATTTACAGAGTACAATGCAAGCAATTTCCTAAACCTAACTTAACCACAGCTATGCAAAATGAAATTACAATTTATCTAGACTAAAAGCTAAATCTAACCTAATGGGTGCACCTTATACTAGGGGTAGTTCCAGAGGACAGACTGGTGTGTGCCCAGGATACAGCTCCAAGGGGGGTGGGGGATTAACTAGTGGTGGCTGCAGCAGTGGGGTGGCTGCAAGCTGGCAGCCTAGGATACATTCCAGGAAGGCACAGGCTTATTTCTAGCAGCAAAGGCACTGCGGAGCAAGAAACAGATTACAGATACAGACCAAGGAGTTAGCGTGGGTCTGCCTGCTGGGGGAAAGAAATCCAGCAGGTAAAACAGGGGTGTGTGCAAGAGGTTTTTCCTTACCAATCCCCACAGCAGCAGCAGGAACAGCAGTTTCAACATCAGAGGACACAGAGAGGACTCGATTCGCTTACAATAATCAGGAGATCTCCAGGCACAGATTCGTTGTTCGTGGGAGGGGAGTTTAAAAACGGGGGTACACTCAAAAACAAACGAGAGAGGGGAGAGGGCCCCCCAAAGACCCCTAGCTGATCAGACCAGGTGGCAAAGCAAGGACCTTCTCCGAGGTTCTGATCAGAAAATGTCTGGTTTTATAGGCAAACTCAGGCAGTTTCCCGCCAGTAACTCTGATTGGTTCCCCTTAATCCAGGGGAGGAGAGAAGGCAGGGAAACTGCAGGTAGGCACAGGACATGTCTGGGCAAGTTCTGAGCCACAGGTATGACTCATATGCTTAGCTATGTGGCCACTTTAGGTCTTATATACCTGGGCAGAGCAGCCTACACCGAGCCGGGTCCGAACAAAGAAGCTAGACAAAGGAGCGAAAAGCCCCCCTCTCTGAGCAGAGCAATGGCTCCAGTCAGTCTGCACAAGCCATTTTCATGAACAGGGCCAGGCTGTGACTTCGGTTAGTTCCATGGCCGGGGGGGGCGGCCACACAGCACAAACAGAACAGCAGGGGGACAGCTGTAACAGACACTCTCGTGGGCTCCCAGAGTATTGTCCAAGATCCTTTCTGTAGTGGCGGCTTACCTACATACCCAGGAGATCATGATCTACCCATACTTGGACAACTGCCTCCTGAGGGCCCACTTCTTTGAAGAAGTTCTACGTGCCACCCATGGAACTATGGATGTATTCACAAACCTGGGCCTGCAAATCAACACCCAAACATTGACCTTAACTCCGGTACAATGCCTGCAGTTTATGGGAGCCGACCTTGACTCACTGCAAGTGAGAGCGCTCTTTCCTCAACACAGATTTCACAGCCTGTCCATGCTTATAGAGACAGTTCAAGCCAGCCTTCAGAGTTCTGCCAGACATTGCTTCCTGCTTCTGGGACACATAGCCGCCAGTATGTTCATAATATCTCATGCCAGACTACACATGAGGTATCTGCAGACATGGTTCAGCTCGGTTTACAGGCCACACAGAGACAGGTTAGATGCCTTCCAGGGTCAAACACTTCCTGGATTGGTGGAAAGATGCAGGAAATGTTTGCCTGGGGGTCCTGTTCATTCAGCCTCTCCTCCCCTCCCCTGACATCAGTTCTCACTATGGACACATCCCTCATGGGTTGAGGTGCACACCTCAACAACCTCAGAACTCAGGGCAAATGGTCGCCCATAGAGATGACTCTCCACATCAACCTCTTCAAACTCAGGGTGGTCAGGAATGCTTTCTCCCACTGATCAGAAGTACACACATGAAGGTCATGACCAATAACATTGCATGCATGTACTACATAAATCATCAGGGAGGTGCCAGATCATCCTCTCTCTGCACAGAAGCACTAAAGTTATGGAACTGGTGCATTTGCCACAATGTTCTAATCAACAGCCTACCTACTGGGAGTGTAGAACACAACAGCGGACAGTCTCAATTGCATGTTCTCATACAATCACAAGTGGGAACTGAACCCAGCAGTACTTCACAGCATATTCAATCAATGGGGGACACCATCAATACACTTGTTCGCTCCTTACCTGAACAGGAAATGCCCACACTGCTGCTTCAGGACCGGTCTCGGACAGCACTCATTAGGGGCCGTTTTCCTTCTTCCATGGGATGAGGGTCGTCTTTATGCTTTTCCCCTGTTCCCGCTGATGGTGAAGGTCCTGTTGAAAATAAAAAGAGAAAAAGCAAAACGTTCTACTGATTATTCTCATCTGGCCAGGACAGACGTGGTATTCGTACCTGTCACAACTGGTGATGCGTCCACCCATCTCTCTTCAACCCACTACTTACTTCCTCTCACAGAACAAAGGAGACACTCTCCTGCAGATACTCCGGTTCAAGGCTTGGCTCTTTCTTGGTTCCAACGCATAGAGAGCACCTGCTCTGAGGAGGTACAGAAAGTGTTACTACACAAAAAGAACAGGAGTACTTGTATGCATCCGAAGAAGTGGGCTGTAGTCCACGAAAGCTTATGCTCTAATAAATTTGTTAGTCTCTAAGGTGCCACAAGTACTCCTGTTCTTTTTGCGGATACAGACTAACACGGCTGCTACTCTGAAACCTGTTACTACACAGTCGGTAATCGGCTACCCATCATACTTACCTGCAGAAGTTGTCCAGATTTCAGGTTTGCTGTGGTTCCAGGCAAATTATCCTGACATGCTACTCTCCCTGTGGTGTTAGATTACATACTGGCTCTTAAGACAACAAGGCTATCCCTCAGTTTGCTCAAGGTACACCTGGCAGCCATAGTGACTTTCCATCCACAAGAGTTTTCTCACACCCAACTACAAAGAGATTCCTCAAGGGCATAACGAACCTTTTTCTCCAGCCCAGATGCCGCACTCCAACATGGGACCTAAATCTAGTTTTAAAGAGGCTTGAACCTATGGCCACTTGTTCACTTACAAACCTGTCAATGAAGATCGCATTTCTCGTGGCCATCACGTCAGCTAGGAGAATAGGGGAAATAGCTGCTCTTATGATGCACCCCCCTTTACAGAATTCTTTCACAACAAGATTATTCTCAGATCACACTCAAAGGTTATTCCTCATTTTTTTCATGTGAACCAATTAATCTCCCAACCTCTTATCCTAAGCCTCACTGTTATAACAGAGAGGCCATAGTCCACATGCTAGATGTTAGGAGAGTTCTGGCCTTCTACCTGGACAGGATGAAGACTTTTAGGAAATCTCCCAAGCTCTTCCTTTCCATTGCGGAAAGGTCTAAAGGCACAGCAATATCACGCCAAAGGCTCTCTAAATGAGTCTCGAACTATATTAAGCTCTGCTATCATGTTCGCAACATAGTGTCTCCATCTGGAATTCTCACACACAACATGAGGTCCGTTTCTTCCTCTGTTGCTTTCTTCAAGAATGTCCCTATCTCAGAAATCTGCAGAGCAGCCACCTGGGTGTCTGTACATACCTTCGCAGAATACTGTATGATTATTGGGGACTGTGCTTCTGATGCTAGCTTCAGCGCAGCAATATTATCCCTAAGAGACTCCACTTCAAAGCCCGAACCTCCCATTAGGGATACTGCTCAGGAGTCACCTACAGTGGAGCACCCTAGGGACGCTACTTGAAGAAGAAGTAGTTACTCACCTTGTGCAGTAACGATGGTTCTTCAAGATGTGCCCCACTTTTGGTGCTCCGGAACCCACCCTCCTTTCCTCTACTTCGGAGTTCTTGATAGGGACTCTGCGGTAGAGAAGGAACTGAGGGTGGTTGGCCTGCGCAGCATTAATTAGCCTCGAAGTAGAGCACGAGGGGAGAGAGCACGTGCAGGCCAAACGGACACTGTTACCAAAGATTTCTGATCAGAAATGCAGGGATGCCCATATACCTACGGTGGAGCACCCATAGGGGGACACATCTCGAAGAACCATAGTTACTGCACAAGGTGAGTGACTTCTTCCCTGATGTATTAATGGTGTAATATTCCAATTGTGTAGATTGCATTTTTGATAGTGAAGCACTTTAAACATGTATCTGGAATACATACTGCAGAACTGGTAATTGGCCTGTACTTTGACACGATGTCCAGAATATTTACTGTTAATTTTAAAGCACTGACAACCAGCTTACGAGGTTATATGCAACACCCTGATACTTCTCTTACAACAGTTCCTCCTTCCTCATGTGAACTGTGCAACAGAAGTCCCACTGTGGACCTCACAGCACTACTTCCTGAAAGCTCCTTTCACTGACCACTTTCCTTCAGCTCTATGCCTGTTGCCCACTTCAATCTTTGAAGCAGGAGTGAGAGCCATTCTCCGCTGCACAGCTGAGTTGTGGGATCAAAACAGTGTCTACCAGCAGCCTGGAGGAGCTGTTCCTTTTGGCTAGCCTTGGCAAGAGACAGCTCCTCAACTGACCAGTTCAGCTTATGAGGAGCAAAATTAGATGTGCCTCATAGTACCTCGCTCCTGACTCACAGTTTAAATATACACTCATTTTATGTAACTGCTCTTAGATTTTTCATGTGTAACTAAAATTAAAAATTCCATTGCTGAGTGTCTGGCAAAACTGAGTCTTTAAAGCTGTGTTTGCCTTTGTAGAGTTAAATTGTGCCTTTGGATATGTGCACATCAGTCTCATTCAGGCCAGAAGGGGTTGTACTTGTGCATCTGAGGATAGAATAATGTGTGAATTTATGATTGTGAATGTTTGTGGTGTGGATTTTACTTTATATGAAAGAAAGCAAAATCACCAAATTAAAATGTTTGGATAATGGCAAATTGTGACTGACTGGCTCATACCTGGACAATACACACATTAAATTATAAAGAATATCTGTGTGACACAGCTACTGATGTCTTATTAAATGTATCATTTGTTTTTGTTTTGAAAAATAACAGCCAGATACTCATTGATTTTTCAATTCTCCCACAGGGAACTGCTTCTGGCACTTTGGCTTACTGCTGAAACTAATTTCCTTACTTATGTGTATATATTTTCTAGCAAATTCTCAGGTTTGTAAATTATATTTATTGTATCCTTAGAGAATTAATAGTAGCCTGTGTATTCAGTTTGGAAAGCCACTCTGAATAGAACATTATGACCAGTTTTCTGTTACTATATAGGGGAATTGGGGGGGAGGGGAATTGAATATTTAAATGCCTCCTTTTCATATCTGATTTTATCTGTGAGGCTGGAATTTTCAGTATCCTACATTTTGTTTGTTTCTTACAACACTTTTAAAATTCACTGTTCTTTCCTACAGTGTTATGTAAATTGAGAGATCAGCTTTATATTTATCTTTCAGGGCCTGTCTGGCTAATTTATTGAGGGTAGGGGGAGGGTTGTGCTGTTAGTGCTTATGGCCAGTATAGTTGCAGAGCAAGCTGCATTCTCTTTTCTCATGCACCTCAGCAAAATTGTCAGCTAAATCCTGAGGGCAGGAATGTTGTCAGTTGTGAGCGATGTACAAATCAAAGAACAGTTTGACTTTCAGATGCCAGGTTGAGCTGTAGTACCAGGAGTTAGAAAGATTCACTACATTTCCTATGATTGAAAATAGAGAAAAATCTAAATTTAAAAAGACAGATCTCACTTTGCCATAGAAACCAAGCAAATGTGGCACAGAAGTCATTGGAAAATTGACACCAACGTATATAACTTCTGTTAGGATTTTTGCCCAGCCCCCTTGATCCTACCTGGAGGCCTAATTTTGGCTGCCATTTGTCTGTCTATTGAAAACTTTGGAAACAGGAAGGTCGGCATTCTTTGGAGGATGTCAGTTTCTCATGGGTGAAATTCATGCCTACACAGATTTCCAGGACAAGGTTCATGTACCACTTAAGATCTATTGTTGAAGATTTAAGTGGCACATGAGTAGTGCATAGGCTTTGTGTAGATCTTCTGTATCATTGTGAATTTCATGCCAAATGCATGACTTACCACGTACTATATCATGTACAGGGTACAGAATGAAGGGCAGAATTTGCCCCTTACTAAGTAAACAAAAACAAAAAAACACCAACTTGCATTAGTATCAGTACTGAAGTTTTCTGTAAAGCTTTCATTTATGTCTCCCAACACATAAATTATTGTCTCCATTTAAGCCCACAGTGCAAAATCGAGTAGTGAGAGGAAAGATGGTAGATGCTTTTATCAATGGGAAATTAGAGGGAAATGTCAGATGCCTTTCAGAGCACTTCTATCATGGTGCATAGAGAATAACATCTATCTGCAGAAATACTCAAATTATTATTTATTTGTATTAACAGAGCACCTAAGTCATGGACCAGGGATCCCACTGAGCTAGGTTCTATGGAAACACAGAACAAAATTACAGTCTCTTCTCCAAAGAGCTTGCAATGTAACACAATATGTCATACTTCGGACACATTTATAGTAGGGCCCAATAACATTGGAATAATGTTAAAACTCCAACTCTTCAGAATGATTGAAAAGATTATTCACTGGTAAAGCTGATTGAAAAATGTGGGGAAAATGTTTTCAACATTCTTTAGTTGAAACTTGGAATTTTCAGAAAACTTCAACTACCCTTGAAGTTAATCAGAAAAATAAAACAAATTCAGGAATAGTTTCAGGTAATTCTGTTCCTTTTCAACCACTTCTAGTCATTAGTAAAGATTTTAATCTCCTGGAGGAATGGTAGACTGGCCACCTTCTTCCCTACAATTGGAGGAACACTTTTTGTGAGCTAATTCATGGAGGGGTATGATCAATGATCTCTAAGACGGAGACCATGAATTCATTCCATCGGGCTGCTGAGAACTGCACTGACTACAGATAGGGAGGGAGGATTAGGAAATACTGTACAGTATATCATGATACAGTCAGAGGCCCACAGAATAATAAGGTGTGTGTTTCCAATTTGTGTTTAAGGGAGAGAGGGTCAGGCAGTAACTTGGGGATATTGTCTAGTGAGTATTAGATGTGTATATCTAACACTTTTATTAAAATAGGTTCATTCAATTAGATAATTTGAAACAAACACCACATTTTTACTTCTTCCATATCTGAGAATATGCAGTGTTTAAATTAAATGTAGGGAATGGGAAGCATGCTGCAGCATAACTGTACATCTGTAGTGTTTTGCCGTTCAAAAATTTATCTGCACTCATTTCAGGGTTGTTGTGTTTTTTTAAGGAAGGAATTTGTTTCAGGCTCTGGCCTGTACCTGGTAGAACATGACACAGGCAGTGTCGACAAATGTCCTAGCTACTTTAAAATTAATTGATGTGAAAATTGAACTATTAAACCAACATTAACTGACATAAGTATTATGGGCCTTATCTTGAGAGGGCAGTGTGAGCACAAGTCCTGTTGACTTTATTTTTAGGTGAGGCCAACTAAACTGATTTAGTACTGGTACAATGGTATTAAAATGTAAAGAAATGAATTAAATTTATTAAATGGGGTTGAAATCAATGTTAACATTCTTGCCATGTTTGTATTTTGCAGGGTGTATTTGAGAAGATTTTTTCTCTTTGGCCATTGTCCACATGTTTTGAGCTGAATGGAAATGTCTATGAATGGTGGTTTAGGTGGAAGTTAGACCGCTATGTATGTAATCCTTTCATAAATTAATTGTGGTCTTGTGTTTTAAGAAGTATTCCTGAACATATTTTAACTTTTAGAATCTACTTCTCCCTCTTCCCATGGAAAAAATAAATTTGAAGTTCCAGGCAATGGTTTGTTGTAGGGCCAGGAAGCATCCACTTTTACTTCAGGTATTTGTCAAAGCCATGCAGAAAAGATGGAAGCTGACTTGTTTATATCCTGAGCCTATAAAGTGTCCATAATCAGAGCTCTGCGTATTCTGTCTTGTCCCAGACTTAAATTTATCTGGGAGACAACTGACTTCTTTGGTTGGCACTTCAAGGCTAAATTCTGCAGGAAATTGAAATTGTAAATGGTAAATCTTTTTTTAAAAACCCAAAGGAACCTCCAAAGAAACTTTAATTATATAAACAACATAATTTATAAATTAATGACATTTCCATGGGGTCAAGTATCAGAGGGGTAGCCGTGTTAGTCTGGATCTGTAAAAAGTAAGGGAGTCCTGTGGCACCTTATGGACTAACAAATGTTTTGGAGCATAAGCTTTCGTGGGTGAATACTTCATCAAACTTTGTTGCCATTTCCATGGGAATGTTCCTTTTGAATATTCTGTGCTGCTAAAATCAGAAGGTCTTGATATAGAATTTATTTCATCTTTTATGTAGAGATGCTATTTTTATCTTATTGTTTATAAATATATTTTAAATACTGTGTTTTAAAATAGCTTTTTGAGAGGGCATTCTTCTTCCCCCACAGTGTGGTGTGCTGGCAGAGAGAGAAATTTCTGCCTGTTCTCTCCTGTATGTTGTTTGGGTAGTGGGAGGATGTGAGACCAGAGCGTATTTTTCCTCTGACCTCTTCTGGAAGGCATTGTCTTGCCTGCTGTGGTTGGGGGCAGCAGTCTTCAAATTCTTCTTTCCACTCCACAGAGTGGGTGGTCTGGGACCAATCAATGGCACACCTTCTCCCCCTGCTGCCTATTTTAATAACTGCCTAAATTTTTTGTATGCCCCAGGGAGAGCTGTGTACTTAACAAAACTCCAAATCTCACAAGTGTTGCAGTTTGTGAAGCATACATTGCATTCTGGGGAGGTGCTAAAGTGCCAGAACACCAAAAAATGTAAAACAGGCGGCGGCGGCAGCACTCTGAACCATAGCCTGATGTTAATGGAGGAGTCTGGAGTAACATTCTAGACCAAATATCTTAACAACCCTGTTACCTTGGTGTTTTTACCTGTGTTTATTAAATGCCATGAGTGAGTAGTTACCCTGTTTTTATTTTGCAGGTAGTCTTTCATGGGATGATGTTCGCTTTTATTTATCTGGCATTACAAAAACGTCAAGTACTTTTGGAAGGGAAAGGAGAGCCTCTCTTCTCCAACAAAATTTCAAATGTTTTACTATTTATTTCTGTAGTTTGCTTTTTGGTAAGTCCACAATATGAATTGAAAATTTGTAAATTTAAAACAGTCATCCTGAGGATGGTCAGCTTTCTGGAGAAGTTCCAGTGTGGCAGTGAGTGGACATTTCATAAGAGATGGTCTTGGGTTGCAGAAGTTTATTTCAGCTATATTTTATAAATAGCTACTACCCATCTTAAACTTTCACTGGACTCTTTTTTTTTTTTTTAGTCTATTGTAGATTTAAATATTACAGCTTCTCCAGTTGATTATCTTGGATGATCTTAGTAAGAATAGAGTGGTAGATGACTTGTATAAACACTCAAGAAATGACTTAATGTCTAAGTGTGATTAACAAAATTGTCAGCAGTGAGTTTTTTTGTATTTTCAAGTACAAATGATTATTGCATTCATCAGCTGCAAAACCGTGTTTAAGAAATGCATAACTAACTAGAAAGTGTAAAGAATCTACTCCTCCCTCCCCACACCACACTGCTGCTGTTTTAACATATTTTAAAATGTTTTATCCTGTTGTAACATTTTAAAATCTCTTAAGCACAGTCATCAAACAGACTGATATGTATATTTATATCTTGTAGACCTACTCTATCTGGGCTAGTAGCTGTAAAAACAAAACTGAGTGCAATGAACTGCATCCTTCTGTTTCTGTGGTGCAGGTAATTATGCTCCTTTTCCTTAGTGACAGAATCTATATTCTATTAAAAAAAATAATATAGTCTGTCTCTGATGTCTTAGTACTTAACATCAGTTGATGAACATTATTTTCATGTATGAATGTGAAAAAGGGCTTGTTGCATTGCTGGTTATTTTTCTTTGACCTGTGTAATATAAAGTTTAAAATTTAGCATTTTATTTACATATTGTGAAACCAAATTTTCATTCTATTCTGTGTATAAATGTAAGAGTATAGCTATAGCAGTATGTGTGTACAATTTATATAATACTAATATGCTGATATAATATATATAGGAATATGTATTTTAATTTTTATATATAAAGATATCTATATATTTATTTTACACAGGGGCATATTTGTGTGTGTGTGTGTGTATGTATGTGTGTGTATATATATATATATGCACTACATGTATATCCTTGTGTAAAATAAGGATAGATATCTTTATATATAAAAATTAAAATACACATTCATGGCCGTACACCGTACCTGAATACTAATTCATATACAGTAGAATCTCTGAGTTACAAACTGACCAGTCAACCCCACACTTCATTTGGAACCAGAAGTATGCAATCAGGTAGCAGCAGAGACAAAAAAATAATATATATATATATATAGTACAGTACTGTGTTAAATGTAAACTACTAAAAGGGGGGGGAGGCAGCATTTTTCTTCTGCATAGTAAAGTTTCAAAGCTGTATTAAGTCAATGTTCAGTTCTAAACTTTTGAAAGAACAGTCATAACATTTTGTTCAGAGTTCAAACAACCTCCATTCCTGAGGTGTTCATACTCTGAGGTTCTACTGCATATAGTGTAGCTCTGACCCTGCAAACATTTGTGCATATGCTTATATTACGTATATACTGTATGTATTTTTAAAGTTTTTAATATGTACATATATAGCAAAAATATCTGATTACATTAATTTTCCTACTTAGTTATAATGCTTAATTTCTTTTTAGATTTTAGCTTTCATCCTCATCAGGAACATTCCTGGATATGCCCGTTCTGTATACAGTTCATTTTTTGCCTGGTTTGGCAGAATTTCTTTAGAGGTAAGTAGAGTGATCACAAATGCAATAATAGGGTGTTTCATTTTAGGAATCTATAAATGGTGGGTTTATAATGTACACTGTAGTGTAACTGAATACATAGTAAAAACATATTAAAGCAAATGAACCAAAAATATCCAACTGTGGCTGTTTATATTCTTCATTGAGAGAGACGAGATGGATGAGGTACTATCTCTTAGTGGATTGGCTTCTGTTGGTGGAAGAGACAAATTTTTGAGCTTCACAGAGCTCTTCTTCAGGTCTGGCAAAGATAACCAGAGTATCACAGCTAAATATTGGGGACACATTGTTAAGTGTAAGCATTTAACATGTTGCAAGAAACCACTTACAATGAATTGGGCAGTCAATACCCCTTCAGTCATAGGTCAAAGGAGGGTTGTAGGTTACAAATTGTTGTAATGAGCCATAAACCAGTGTCTCTAAGACTGATTTTTCGGGCTGGTCTACACTGGCACTTTACAGCGCTGCAACTTTCTCGTTCCAGGGTGTGAAAAACCACCTCCCTGAGCACTGCAAGTTTCAGCACTGTAACATGCCAGTATAGACAGTGCACCAGCACTAGGAGAAACGCCCCTCGTGGAGTGGTTTTTTTAGAGCCCTGGGAGAGCTCTCTCTCAGCGCTATGCCACGACTCGTGGCAGCACTTTAACGTTGCCAGTGAAGATGTGCCCTTAATGTCTATCAGAGTTACGAATTTAAGTTCCCAGCAATTTGTAACCTACTAACCATCCTGTGTCCTATGATTGCAGAAGTGTTAATTGCCTACTTCATTTTGAGTGGTTTCTTACATCATGTTTTAACCCCTTATGCTTAATAATCTGTCCCACCTTATATTTAGTTGATACTCATAAGAATGTAAGAATGGCCTTACCGGGTCAGACCAATGGTCCAACTAGCCCACTATCCTGTCTTCCGACAGTGGCCAGTGCCAGATGCTTCAGAGGGAATGAACAGAACAGGGCAATTATTGAGTGATCTGTTGCCCACTCCCAGCATCTGGCAGTCAGAGGCTTAGGAATATCCAAAGCATGTGATTACATCCCTGATTATCTTGGCTAATACCCATACCTGGACCTATCCTCCATGGACTCATCTAATCCTTTTTTTTAGCTCAGTTATACTTTTGGCCTTCACAGCATTCTTTGGCAACAAGTTCTACAGGTTGACTGTAAGAAGTACTTCATAGGTTTTAAATCTGCTGCCAATTAATTTCATTGGATGACCTCTGGTTCTTGTGTTATGTGAAGGGGTAAAACTTATTTATTCACTTTCTCCAAACCATTCATGATTTTATAGCCCTCTATCATATCTTCCCTTAGTTATCTCTTTTCTAAGATGAACAGTCCCAGTCTTCTTAATCTCTCCTCATATGGAAGCTGTTTCGTACCCTTAATCATTTTTGTTGCCCTTCTCTGTATTTTTTCCAGCCAGAACTGCATGCAGTATTCAAGGTGTGGGTGTTCCAGGGATTTATATAGTAGCATTGTGATATTGCTTATCTTACTTTCTATCTCTTTCTTAATGGTACCTAACATTTGGTTAGCTTTTTTACGGCCATTGCACATTGAGCAGATGTTTTCAGAGAACTATCCACAGTGACTCAAGATCTCTTTGTTGAGTGGTAATAGCTAATTTAGATTCCATCATTTTGTATGTACAGTTGGGATGATGTTTTCCAGTGTGCAGTACTTTGCATTTATCAACACTGAATTTCATCTGCCATTGTCTTGCCCGGTCACTCAGTTTTGTGAGATTGCTTTGTAGCTTTTCGCAGTCTGCTTTGGCCTTACCTATCTTAAGTAATTTTGTATCATCTGCAAACTTTGCCACCTCACTGTTTACCCCTTTAACAGGAGTAAGCCCTGTATCAGCTAATGTAGTAGTAATGATTATACTCTTATTGATATTTAAATTTGTAAATATTTATTTGTGAATCTCTTTTCCTTCTAGCTATTCATCTGCCAATACCACATCTGGCTAGCAGCAGATACAAAGGGGATCTTGGTGCTCATTCCTGGAAATCCAATGCTCAACATAATTGTCAGCACTTTTATATTTGTGTGTGTGGCACATGAAATTTCTCAGATCACTAATGATCTAGCACAGATGGTTGTTCCTAAAGATAATGCGACTCTGCTTAGAAGGCTGCTATGTATAGCTGGGTTTTTTTCTGGACTCCTCTTTTTGGCAGCAATTCAAGATCAATCAAGGCATTAACTTCAAGAAGTCCTTAAAACTTACTTCAGGCTTACTTTGTGTCTGCCTGACGAAAAATATTTAACTGGAGATACAAAAAACGTGTACAGTGCTCAGCAGAAGCAGAAGGACATCTAAATGAAGTCTATTGAATGTGTATATAATGGAAATGTACATATTTTGTGTGGAAATATCCTTCTCAAAGGAATCTGAGAGACAAGAATGCACTGTACAGAATTGCATGTGAAAAACAAGTCTTTTTTTCTACTGGATATATATTTCTGTTTACATATCTGTTTAAATGTAACATGAAGAAGAGAAATGGGTGGCTTGGCAGCATAATTTGGAGATTACTGAATTAACTTTACCTTGATACACCTAACTTGCGGATATTTACTAGCATACTACAGTATACAAGAGACATGCTTTAATTGTTCTCCTCAAGAAACTTTTTGTAACAACAGAGCAGACCTGATGTATGATCTTTAGCTACTGGTCATTTTTTGCTAATTTCAAAATGAAGTTATCTTACTGGTAATCAGGGTCATTTTTCTAAACTAAGTGTTAACTCATTGTTTAGAGATCAATGTTTTGGGTGTAGTTAGTATGTAGTATATGAAACCCTTTATGCATTGAACAAAAGCCCCTCAATTTAAAGTGATTCCATGTAACATTCTAGCCAGGTTTACACAGTACTTCATAGGTGTTTTGTATTTTTTTTTCCCCCCTGAAGACAGTTTTCAAGAAATATTTTTCAGTTCTGGAAATGTGGGATTTGTTAAGAATGCATAAGTAATTTTATTTTAAATTTTCTACAAGTATGTTTGTTTTTTCATCAGCATTTTTCAATTATTGCTCTTTCAAACTCTCTGTAGTTCACAATATTAATACAGCCCCACTCATAAAACAATGATAAGCAATATTTCAGCTGAATATTGAAAAGTTAGGGAAATTCCCACCCTTTCCCAGTCATACATCTACTGTATTCAGATATTACAGAGAAGGGCATAGCAGGGGCACAACAACCTCAGAACCCCCAGATCGTGTGTGACTTGAAGATATGGAAAGCAAGCCTGCGTGGGAAAAATTGGTTGACTAGCAGTCTGGCCAGCTGTAGACAATGGGTCCCTTTTTAAAATAACAATGAAATAAGATTGAGGTTCTTGTTCAGAAGAGCCAATTCTTCCATTCCTATTTAGCAGTATCTTTCCTTTGTTGCTGTGATTCAAACTCCGAATCAAAGGCTTTTTCTTTATCATGTAACCTTCTTTTGCATACAGCATAGAACTGAAAGAAATACCACTTCAGATTAGAACTGACAGGTTGTAATTTTAAATTCTGCAAATTCAGTGAACTACGGTGATACTTTGTTCTGTTGAACCATAATAGTCTTCACAGTTTTTTGTGAGTTTGGCTTACGTAATGCTTGGAGGTTCATGTGCATCCTCGTTCTGTCCTCCTTTTGGTGGCTACTGTTTAGCATTCAAAGAATGAATACGACATTGTTTTCTCAGCATATGTGCAATTATATGTAATGATAAACTATATGAATCTTAATTTATACAGTAAGTGGTCTGATATTTATGTATTTTCTGATGTTATCTCAGTTGAACTGTGGAGTCCGAACTTGCAAAGCCACCTGTGTCTGTAGGAAAACTTTCCTGCAAAATTTTGTTCCAATAAAGAAAACAATTTCTGTAAGAATGATGGAGCCAGTAATGAGAGGAAGATAGCAAGATAAAAGATAATACAGGTTTCAAGAATAAACTTAGTACATTAATTCAACAACCTTGGGTATGTCAACTAGTTTTATTAACAAGCTTGAGGAAAGATATTCGACATTTTCTCAAATATGTTTTCTTTTGGACGTTATTTCCAATGTTTGGAAAGTCATCCTTAGCCACTGATCAGTACATCTGATTTATTGAAAGACATGGTATAGCTGAGCACTGTAGAGATAGTTGCTATGGACAGGATGTACAACCTACATCTATGCCATTGTTAGAAGTAAGAAAGTGAGTTTGGGGGGGAATTTTTTGGTTTTCTTCTTCACAAACTAAGTATTGTAGATATCATTGTTATTTATCTGTTGTACAGATTTGGTTAAAGATTATTTTTAATGTTTGAAATAGTGCACTTGTTTGCTATTACTGTACGTGGGAGAAATATATTTTCTTTTAAGGTTATGTGAAAATATGAAGTAATTTAAACATTAAATAAATGTGCTGTGGATGCTTATTTTTGTTCTCTAAGGAGCATCAGTTACTCAGGGGTTCTTTGTTATAGTTTTCTTATTGTTTAAACCTAGATCGGTGGTAACTTATTAGTATGCCTAGCCAAAGTCACAGGTTCAGGTTATAGGGCACCCTCCAAAGTAATTCCCTACCCACTATTAATTCAGCTAATTCCCAGCTAAGGGAAAATGTTCACCCTCACAAACAGCAGAAGTAACAGGACTGTGCGTATGGTTACAAGGGGGGGTGGAGAGAGAAGGAATCCTCCACAGCAAGCCAAAGTGTGACAGTGTGGCTGTGCTTCCTCCACAGCAAGCTTCTACTGTAGCTTGCTGTGGAGGAGTCACTACTGTAGCCTCAGGGATTCAGCAACCCTCACATGTGCAGGGGCCTAGCTAGGGTTGCCAACTTTCTAATAGTAGAAAACCGAACACCCTGCCCCGGCCCTTCTCTGAGGCCTCACTCCCCACTCACTCCATCCCCTGTCGCTCTGCCACTTACTCTCTACCACCCTCACTCACTCATTTTCAGCAGGCTGGGACAGGGGATTGGGGTGCAGAGGGGGTGGGGAGGGCAGGAGGGGGCTCCAGCTGAAGCAAGGGGTTGGGGTGTGGGAGGTGGTACAGGCTCTGCACTGGGTGTGCGGGGTTCAAGGTGCAGGAGGGAGCTCTGGGCTGGGGCAGGGGGCTGGAGTGTGGGAGGGTGTGTGGAGTGGGGGAGGGGGCTCAAGGCTGGGGCAGGGGGTTGGGATGCAGGAGGTGGGGAGGGGTGCAGGCTCTGGGTGGCGCTTTACCTCAGGCGGCTCCCAGGAGGCGACCGGCATGTCCGTCCAGCTCCTAGACACAGGTGTGACCAGGAGGCTCTGCGCAGCGTGCGCTGCCCCCACCTGCAGGCATGCCCCCGCAGCTCCCTTTGGTCATGGTTCCCGGCCAATGTGAGCTGTGGAGCTGGCACTCAGGGAAGGGGCAGCGTGCAGAGCCCCCGTGGCTGCCCCTGTGCTTAGGAGCTGGTGGGACATGCCAGCCACTTCTGGGAGCCATGCAGAGCCGGTTAGGGAGCAGGGGCAGCAGCAAGCTCGTGCCTGGGGCGGCAAGCCGCGGGAGGGCAGCCTGCTGGTTGCTGGCCTTCGCACAGCACCGGCGGACCTCCCACAGGCATGCCGCCGAATCCGCATGGCCAGTGGACCGCCCATAGGCGTGCTGACGAAAGCCGCCTGACTGCTGTGCTTGGGGCGGCAAAAATCATAGAGCTGCTTGCGCTGCCAACAGGACTTTTAACAGCCTAATCAGGTGCTGACTGGAGCTGCAAGGGTGCCTTTTCGACCAGGTGTTCCAGTCGAAAACTGGACACCTGGCAACTTTAGGCCTAACTGATGAATTAGTGTAAATCCACTAGGCCCACCCCCAAAACCTTCTTCTATGGCTGTACAAAAGAAACTCCAGTAGAGCATGGATCCACAACACATGGGGGATGCAGGCCCCTTATCTCAGTTCCAGCATTTCTCTTCCAAGTGTGTGGTAGTTTAGAAGCTAAAAACTGAGATGAAATGCAGAATGAAAGCATAAAGGAATATTCTTCATATCAGGATGGCAGAGTCAAGCAACTCCTTCTGAAACAAATAGTATTAGAATGGGAAGGTAACTAAATCAGTTAATTGCAATATCGACCAGGGCATCTCTTCCATTCAAAGGAAAAAACCCCAGCAGGATCAGCTCAGTTTCTTTGAACCTATGACATCAGGCATCATTACCTTCTTTGAGATCCATTGTTGGCCATAGCAATTACCATAGCACTGGAATCTATGTAGGCATCATGACTCAATAAAAACAGTAACCAAAATCATGTAGGTAAATTAAGTATTTACCTGCTGAATTTATTGCAGAAACTGTTGTTTCATATATCTAAAAAAGAACACCCTTAAAACCCTCTGATCATTTAAGTTGCTGCACTTCAACCTTACTGTAATGATACAATGGAGTTTCAGTTCTTCCCTCTTGGATCTTAATCATATGGTCAAAATAGGGCTGTGAATTTACATGCTAACACTTTTAACTATCCCCAATGTGGTGTTCAATTTATCTTTATTTAGCTACACTTTTGTGAGTCCATATTTCTAATCCAGCTGTAATATGTAAATAAAGAAATATCAGGTTCATGTGAGATGGGATAAACTTGTCTAAAATGAATGATGCTTTTTACAAAAAGGACAGTAAAGAGGTGTGCTGATACCAAACCATTAACATCATCAGACCCTTTTCAGACTATAGAAAGTTCATTTGTTATAGACTTGTCATTTATGATCTTCAACTGACAACAGATATGTAATAATCTTGGGAATTCACTTACATTTCCCAGTGCTATTATGTATAATTAGTGCTTTCTGGTTCCTATATCTAAATGTATTTTTTTTATTTCAGTTGAACTGATAATATTCAACAATCAGTAGAAAAAGGCAACTTTCAGTATAGAAACAAAACAGACTAATTTCACAAGATCTATTAATAAATTTCAATTTAGTTTCATACCGAATTAGAAATTTCGAGTCATTCAATCTGTGCCATATAAAAGTTGTATTGACACTTTATGTATTGAAAATTTGTCATAGAAGCCCCAGTGCAGCTAGAAGTCCATTGACAGTCCTCCATATTACCGGAAAAGGAGTACATTGTTCAGCCATTAACTCATTTAACCCAATAAAATTACCAGAGTTCTGGGGCGATAGGGAAGTGGTGACTCAGACAGGCAGAGAATGCCACTGGCAGTCCTTAGTCACAACTCTACACATAGGCGGCCTTAGGGCGAAGTTTGTTCTCTGCAAAACAGCAGATAAAGAGCTTGGAGCTCATATCCTCCTGAGGTGACAGAAGCAGGCCTTTTTAGGCATAGCGCTGTTCTCCCCAATCCAGGGAAAAGGGGACTGAAAAGGAACCTTAAACACAAACTACCTTTTCGATATCTATCTGGCTACTGCTCCTGCCTGGTCACCCAACTTAGCAGTCAAAATAAAATAAAGATTCACAGATTGATATTTGGGTCATGGAATGTCAGAACTCTTTTTGATAATGACCAAAGACCAGAACAAAGAATAGCCTCTGTTGCCAAAACACTGAAGAGATATAATACATCATTCCCGCATTGAAATCAGACTTGCTGATGAATCCCACCCTGAGGACATGGGAGCAGGCTACACCTACTACTGGAATGACAAGGACAAGCCAAAACAGTCAAAAGTAGGTTTCACCATACGGTCTGACGTTGCCCACAAGCTTGACTCGTTCTCCAAGGGAGTCAATGATCAATTGTAGTGAGGCCGAGTGGCCTCCCTCCAAGCAGGAGAGCGAGGGACCATTACACTCCCCTTGAAGGGCGGAGCCTAGATTGCCCCACCCCCCTCACCAGAAGTACTGGGGCATGGCTGGAAGTATAACGGGCAGGCCCTGCAGCACAGTTGGGGCAGAGCCTGCGGAGGAGAAGGACGGTCCGCCTGTTCTGCAGTGTCCCAGAGGGGAACCTACATCTGGGTGTTCCCGATCCCCAGATGCCGACAAGGACTGTCCCGGAGTGCCTGCTGCTGTGTACCCCGAGGAGCCGGAAGAAGCCTAAGACCACAGGTACCGAACCCTAGGGAGGTAGGAAGTGGCCCAGGGGCAGCCACGGAGCAGCCGGCTGCAGAGCCAGGTGTGGTTCAGTCGGTGTGTTTCGGCTGGATTCCCACCAACGCAGGGGCAGCCAATCCTGCCCCTGCCAGGGCCCTGGCCTGGGATGCAGTGGAGTAGGGTGGGCCCACATTCCCTTGCCACCCCACGCTGGGGTGGCTGACTCCCTACACTGTGCAGGGAAGCTCTAGCCCTGAAGAAGGAGTCTCCCTTACCAGCATCCTTATAGACTGTTTGCTTTGCTGGCTGCCTGACCCTCCTCAAGCCCAGCCCCCAGCTCAGTTATAGACTGTTTAAGGGCTGACAGCTTGAGCCGCCCAAACCCAGGCTAAAGCCTGACTGTGATTATTGGTCGCTCAGCCCTATTGTGGGCTCTTGGCTGTCCTGCAGACTCTGGTCCTGGCCAGACAGGACCGGACTGAGTGGCCTCCCTTCCCACGGAAGAGCGAGGAACCATTACACTGACTTATACTGCTCCTCCTAAACTTGTCTAGAGACCAGTACGCCACCATTATCATTGCCTATGTGCTGACAGTGACTCGTACAGATGAGGTCAAGGAAGCTTTTTATGAAGACCTCAGCAAGGCCATTAAACAGGTGCCATACCAGGACAAACTTATTGTCCTTCGAGACTTTAATGCTCATGTGAGAGCCAACTCTGACACATGGAGCAGGGTGCTAGGCCATCACAGCATTGGACAGTCAAACTCCAACAGCCAACTACTTCTTTCCCAGTGGGCCAAGTTCAATCTCACTATTACCAACATAATCTTTCAACAGGCCAACAACAATAAGACAACATAGATGGTTTGAGGTGTTGGTCTTATGACGTGCTCTCTTCTGCAGAGACCTCACATGCCACTTCTCAAAAGCGGATAGAGACTCATAGCACAGATCTCTCTGTCTGGGTCTGTCAAGTGTAACGAGTTCTCAGATTTTAATGTCTGCATGTTTGCATGCTTTGAGATTGGCTTTCATGATGTCTTTATATCTGAGGATGGGTCAACACTGAGTGGGTTCCTGTGCTGAGTTGGCGGTAGAGCAGCACTTTCCATATACGGGAAATCTCCATGTGGATCACGTGTCTGCTCTAGTGAAGTTGGATTTGGTGCTTCAAAGACTTCAGTGTTGGAGATCCGGTCCTGCCAGTTAATGTTGCAAATGGATCTTAAGCAGTGAAGGTGGAAGCTCTGCAGCTGTTGGATGTGGCATCAGTACAGCAGCCGTGTCTCACAGCCGTAGAGGAGTGAGGTGAGTACAACAGCACAGTAAATTTTTATCTGGGTGCTGAAGCAGACTCCAGGCTCTCTCCAGAGATGTGCTTCATGCCCACCTGTCTTCCAGCATC